TCTTGGGCCTCCAGATATCGGTCTGCGAGGTCAGCCATTTCGCCTAGCTGTTTGCTCTTTCTTTCTCTTAAGAAAAGTGACATTTTTGACGGAACGCTCCAAACGAACTGCTCTGTGAGCAGCAAATTCCGTAAGGCGCCAAAATCCTTCGCCGTCCCGGATAGGTCGACCCAACAGTCAAACAGGCTAGACAACCTAGCCGCATATTGTGTACCGGTTTCCCCTTTTTCCGGCTTAGCACTTCTAAACTTGTCTCGGAAGCCATCCGCAGTTAACCGAAACCTCTGCAGGAGCGCCTTCTTTACGTTATCGTATTTGACAGAATCCTCCGGTGTTAGCCTAGAAAAGACTCCAAGTGCCTCCCCTGCCAAGCATATGCTAAGCGCAGTGGCCCAGTGTTCGCGGGGCCACATCTGCCCGCTTGCTAGTCTCTCAAAGCGCATCAGGTAGGCATCAAGGTCGTCTTTCTTCTCGTCGAAGGTGGGCAGCCAACGCTGAGGACTCTTCCATAGCGTTGTCCCGGTCCCGTTTTCGGCGGAACTAGTGGTAACAGGGACTGGCGACGCGTTCTGTAATTCCTGCAGCCTGATCCTCAGCTCTAGGGTTCGGTGCTCCGCTTCGACACTCCTCTCTTGCTCTTGCGCTCTCGCGGCTCTCGTATTCTCTCTCTCTTGGTCCACCCATTCCCTCAGGGCCGAACCCTTGAGCCCGAGTTCTTTTCCGCAGGCCACTAGCTCGTGTAGCTCCATGGCTGAAGTCGCGCGGGCCCTTTGCTGGATAGTCTGACTCTAGAACCCCTCCTCTGTTCCCGATCGGTAAGCCGGGTTGTGTGCTCCCGCAACGGCGTCAGCCTCACAACGCGCTCCCTACAGCATTTCAAACTCACTCGCTCACCCTCCTCCTCTCAGGGTAGATCGTCACAGTAAACAGCACGTCCTGTCGCGGACGTCAGTTTGTCACAGGTTCGGATGTTAAAGATCCCATTTAAACAAACAAATTTGGAATTTGACTTGGATTGCTGTCCAGGTGTTAGGACCACACCTTGGCGATAGACATCCTGAGAGGCGGGAGGAATTGAGAGCAAAGCATGTCGACGTTAAGAACAGTATTTTATATAAAATAATTCAAAAGTAAGGGAAGGGCGCACAGGACGTACACACAGTCGAAAGAAGAAAAAAAATATATCAAAAGTCAAATCGAGGTTGTCATACAGTTTTGGAGGGGGAGGGCCGAGTCAGCGTTCCAAGGTGCAGGTGGAGGTCCGGTTCATTGCGCCGCCAGTCGGGGTCGAGAAGCCATGGTGGCTTGGGTGTCGTAGTGACGCACAACACTCACTCACAAGCACTCACACCCCTCTCCGTCGAATACCTTCTCGGTGTTCGAACAACCATACCGACGCGGATCTGCTCAGCGCCGACCATCCACACCTTCGCAACCTTGCTCCGCAATGTGTTCCACAAAAACTTCGCGCGCGCGGGCTAAGCTCGCGCTCCTGTCCTCGGCGCTCGCGCACCCCACTCACAAACACGGGAACGGACAACACCATAACCATTGAAGGGCAAAAATAGTTATTGAATTCTGTGACAGTTGGCAATGTTAGATGTATAAATTGAAAGCAACATAAAGAGGACAGGGCACGTCAAATGTCAATAACTAAACATTCGGGCCTGAAATTTAAAATTAAATAAACTTTTCTGGCAGAGAGAGTGAAGTAATATTGACAATCCTTTTGTGGCACAAGACTCAAGATATATCAAATTTAATTGTAATTAAACAAGAAACAAAACAAATAGTCAGGCAAAAGATCTTATTAGTAGTGACCCGGAACAGTGTTAAAAAGTTTCATTCTGAGGTCACATAAAAAAATAAGTGGAAAAAAGGCGATGCTTTACGACGCAAATGCAAGTCGATTGCAGATCACTCTTTTCATTAATAAAATTATAAGTGGGTTACTGACGCACGTACGTCAATTGCAATTCTACCACTTTGGCGTCAGCAGCAGATGCGCGCAAACACTCCAAGGTGTCGCGGCGTATATTAAAAGCATTTTCTATTTTGTTGTTCACTTGCTCAGAATACCTGGGAACAGATGAGCGGTGGCGTTATTGACGTCCCGTTTCGTGTTTCTTTATTAGAACTTGAGCCAATGATCAGATTTTCAACAGACAGAAAGCCTCAACACGGTGCTCACCATAGCAACTGGCAGCGTGATGGGACGAGCGAACGGCTAATTAGGGCGAATTTGTGTTATGGCGCCGCGCCACTGGTATTGCTCCAGCGCGTCCCCTGGCCCAGCCGAACGGTCTTATACTTGGCTGCAGGTCAGCGGAATATGATAGGTCACCACGACTACGCCCTCAACATACTTATTGCTGTGATTTACTATGTATTTGTTGCCTGTCCCACCTCTGTCAGCCACTCCGGGGCAGTGTTGCAACATCTTACTAGGCGCCGAAAAGACAAACCGAAATTTGTTCGGTTCTTTCCGGAGCCAGAGACCGTAGGACGTGAGAGGGAAGGGGTCCTTAATGCCACATACCTTTGCCGCCTTTGTTCGTGACCGGGGCCCAGAGAACCTAGGCCTGATAAGGAACGTCCGACTAAGAGGTTCACTAAGTATTTACTGAGCAGAACGTAAGGGCACAAGTGAGCTGGTGTATATTAAACATTTTAGTGAAAACCCGAAACTGAGGTAAAACAGACGACGACAAGGAGACATTCTTCTTTTCCTTGTCGTCGTCTGTTTTACCTCAGTCTCGGGTTTTTCACTAAAATGCTTAAGTATTTACTCTGTGGTCGGAAAAATTTTCTTTTAGGGCCTCGGGGAGGGCGAGGTAAATGCTTTGTCGAGATGTGAACCCCTCCGAGTATTATCAGTTGAAATCTCTGGTGAACAAAGAAAAGCTCAACGAGCAATTAAACTTAATTGTCGTCGTTCCAATAATTGAAAGAAAGATGATGGAACAGGGAAGTATGTCACTGTGGAGGAGTCAGGGCACGTCGCGCCACGTGACTTCAATTTTCTAAATAGCTTTGAAACATTGACTTCAGTTTCGGTTTCTAGAGGAGAAAGGTTTTATTTATTTATTTATTTATTTACCCACAGAGCCAGAGGTGTTACAGAGGGGTGTGGGGATTAAAAAGGTACAACACAACATACAGCGTGCAACAGAAAATATAATACTGTGGTTATGGCTCTTTACAAAAAAAGATTGGAAACGGCAGTTAGTGCACGTTGAGTTAGTGCACATTTATTTCTGTTAATAAGTTTCCGTAACTCGGAGCTCATCCATGGTTTATCCTGACAACGGTTCGAGGCGATAATTTTTGATGGAACGAAAATATCAACCAGAGTCTTTATTCTATTCCTAAATATGTTCCACAATAAGTTGTCACCTGTCATGCTCCTGTCCTCAAACTCCGAGTAAAATTCTTCAAGTCTACTAGACAAACCAGCACAATCCCCTCTGTCGAAAAAGTGCACTTTCTTAGGACGTAAGGAAGCACTGTGATCAAATGAACAAGACAAATTAGCAATAAGAGCCTTATGGTCACCAATTCCCAAGATAACGGCAAGAGCGGAGACCGCCGAAGCACGATTGCTGAACACAAGGTCAAGGACACTTGAACGGCTAGAACCGATCCAGTAGGCTTTGTAACAAACTGATGAAGGTCATAGTCATTGACGAGATTAACAAATGCTGAGTATATACCAGTATAGATAGAAATAGACGGTTTGAGTTCTGTCCACTGAATATCTGGTAAATTAAAATGACCAATAAGAAAAAAACCTGCTTCTACCACAGATCAAGCGTTATACAAAGAAAAAATAGAGTTTATGTTGCTTGATGGCGATCTGTAGAATGAACCCACGGTAACATTGTCACTGTTAGCAAGGGGGTTAGCTTGCATTTATATTGGTGGACGCGTTAGCAGATATGCTGGTTCTTGCTGGAACTTGAAAGATACATTTACAGCCTAAGGAAACTAACAAGTGTAAAATGGAGAGGGCAATGAAGTATTGTGTTACGATTCGCTTTTCAACTATTTTTAATACCTTTCTATTCTTATCACAAAGGGTACTAAATAATATGCTCGAGCATCAAAGAGGAACTCTTGTTCACTATCACAAATGAACTCATTTAGAGATGCAGTCACTTTTTCATTTTCAAGTGATGTGTTAACAGATGTTGGCATCTGCTCCAAAAGCTTCAGTGGCTACTCCAAACCAATATTTTGCCTGCTACAGAACCTGCTACAAGAGAACAAATACCGCTTCTATCACTGATACTGGCAGACTTCTCGAGGGCCGCCTCCAGACATGATGACGCAGTGCTCCCCTTAACTAGCTTCAAGTGCGAAGAATCAAAAGGCAAGAATCCCTTTGTAGTATGAGAGTGATAGAGCCAACATGCATGGTACTCAGTGGCAGTCATCAACAAATCGAAATACCTTACTGGCACTGCTCGCATCCAAATTCTCGCTAATGGTTTGGTCAATTTCTGCCAAAAAATGTTTTCCAAAGCACTTAAGCTATGCATGTGCCTGTACAAATTCTTTCTTTTTCTAAATTATAAGCGCCTTCAAACAATAAAAGTCAACTGAAAGGAGAACCTGAGCAGTTCCAAGAAACCATCAACACCGACACCGCTAGTATTGTCTAACTTGGCCTTACCGTTTTCATCTATACACTCGTGCATCGACGCGAAGAGGTCCTCATGGGTAACAGAGTAAACAAATCAACTACATCGATAGAGAATGCAGCCACATTCGTGTGGGTTCCAGAATTCAAGTACTTCACCACCGCCTGGAGTGTGCATCAAAAATGAGTTACTAAGTTGCAGGGTAGTTAATTGCTACAGAAGGTATTGACTCTCCGACCGCTGCCATGCCCCTCTTTCGGTGACAATGGTCCTAAAAGGTGAACCCTCGTTATGGGTTATAGCCATGAAAAAGGCCTCTAGGTTCCCAACATTGCTTTTCTTTATGTCCCTTTGCAGGTTGCGCGACTCAAGGCCGGTGCACAACTTCAAAGCGGAGCTCTTAACTTTCACTGGGTTGAGAGACGTTGGTTTGTGGAATTCTCAAAAATAGCGGCGCAAGACAGTCCCAAAGGTATCCTTGTGCATAACAATGAACCCCCGTTCTTGTTAGCCTGGAGTAAAATCAACCTATTTTCCTGAAAAAATGACACTACTTTGCTCAAGTTTCTTCCATCAAGTGATGAGAACCTTTCTTTAGATTCGGCAAAGGCACCACGTTTTGCTGGGAAGGATGGAAGAGCGGAGGAGAAAGGATTACGCTCGCAAAGAGGAGGTTAGAAGATTGGTGGAAATCATGTAGGGAAAGTTGAATGAAGTAAAACTAATTAGCACAGCTGCGGACAGGCGGGGCAGAGCAAACTTGGGACTCCCTCCCGCGTGGCTCCGGCCAAATGACTCAATTTTGTCTCCCAGCGTGTTCGAGAGCTTGGTGTTGGGGTAACCAGAGGAAAATTAACGACTCTCACTGGGGAGAGGGGGGGGGAGAAAGCGGGCAGTGATGTTTCTAGCTTCTTTGACTGATGTGGTAGTTAAAAAAAGGCAGAAGCGCAAAGGGAGGAACCATACTTTGGTCCTTTTTGGATTCTAGGCTAGGTGGAGCAAGCTAGCGCCCGTTGTAAGAAGTACAGCCATTAGCATCCACCTATTCACCCAACAAAGACAAAGCGCTAGCCTCCTGCCTTCGATCATGCTTTCGTGCCTTGTGAGCCTCTAGCACCTTTGCACAGGTGAAGCACAACGGAAGACAACCAGTGCTGCTGGGGGCCAGGCATATGAAAGAGAACCTTTCTTTAGATTTGGCAGAGGCGTCTTGCTGTTCTCCCCCTTTCAGTGACAACTAATTTTTAAATTTAATGGCCACAAATTAACGTACCCTTCATTGCTCACAAAACACTGGCTGCAGACATATGCCACCCACTTTCAGCATCTTTCCCAATTTACACTTTTGCATCTCGATGCCTTTATTGTGGCCTGAAATGAAGGCTGCAAACTTTGGCTTAGTTGTCCACAACTCATGGTTGTATGCCTGTGCCCACATCTCTGAAAACCAGCAGTGACAGTGTGTCAACAAAATACTCAGAATATGTGTATTACACGTGCAGCATTTTCTTATTCTTTTCCTTTTGTGGAAATATATATGTTGCAGGCATTGCTGTCACATCAGCTGCCATTGTGATGTCTTTGCTGCTGAGTGTACAAACGTCTGCTGCAATATTCATTTTGCACCATCAAATTTATTGTTCCCTGCAAGAACAAGTGTGGAGCGACCACCGGCATGGTGCAATGACATCACGGGTTTTTTTTTCAGCGAGTGCTCAACCTCGTCACGAATGTGGCACTAGCGTTCTAAACTAGATACCGAAGTTTCATAAGTAACCCCTGCCTAATTAAGAAGTCTCGAGTGATCTGTAATTTTCAATGGGAAAGTTGCTCAATACATGAAACTGAATGGTGCCAGTAGCCAAGAATGGGTTGTCTCATTTTTCTATCTATATATTCAGTAAATTGCTTAGAACTTATTAATAAGATAAGAGTGAGTTCTGAAACTCTGGCATCTGGTTCGAACCGCTAGTGCTGCTTGGGCAGAGCTCAGCAATGCATCATTTTTTTCTTCAATGAAAAAGAAGAGAGTACATTCTTTTGGGAGACACGCTGTTTGTCAATAGGATTACTAGCTGCAGTGATCAGGATTTGCATAGTTCGCATTTTAGGTTTGTAAATATTGAACACTCGTCAATGAAGCTTGGACCATACATTTGATACTTACGTATGCACTAACATCTCTCTTGTTTACATGAGACCTGGTGCATGTAGGTAGAGCATCTTCCGAAGTATATATCACTCTATCGCAAACTACATATGATTGTTCATTATCTCAAGGGGAGATGCGGGGCATAATGAAAAGGCTGTCTTTTGAAAAGAAAAAAAAAAAAAGGATATTCGGTTTTATGGTGTTTAATGATCTTTGAATGTTCATAATTTATTATAAAAGTAAGGACCAGTTATAATCGCGAAATTTGTGAAATAAACATTTAGAAAAACTGGCAACCAAGAACTGCATAAATTTGAGCCATATTTGTGTGCGCGCTTCTTCAAATGGTTGTCGTTGCCACTACATTCTGTCTGCTTCATCGCAGTCTTCTGTAGCCTCGATTTCTCACAGAAAATTAACAAAAATTTTTTTTCCGACCGTAGAAAAGTGTTGCTACGCATCTACGTTATCATTCAGACATTTTTTCTATGTAATTTTGGGGCATCTTCACAAAAAGTGTGCAAGAATTTTTTTTTTTTGGTATTGTCCTATACCACCAAATTTAACATGCATGTGCTTTAGATCAAATGAATTGCAACTATCTAGGTTTGATTGGAATATATATATTTTTTAAATATTTATAAAATATTAAGAACTGTTTGTTAGCTTTTCGAAAATGGTGTTTTCTTGGTTTTCATATATTTTAAACTAGGGTAGGTCTAGCACACAGTATTTTTGTTCATTGTACTTAGTGGTGGTTTAAAACGAGCAAATATGTTTATTTAACTTGGCTCTTTTAATCTGTTGCCATTACCCACATGCCTGCAAGAACATGTTTTTTTCTGCATGTTCAGAGCATCCAGAACATAAAGAACAACTGTATCGAAACTAACACGAGGCTTATATATAGGAGATCAAGCATTATGAGCTGTGGAAGATTAATTCAATTATAATAAATATTAAAAAATAGTTTTCCCTGGTGCAACACACTAAACTTTTTGTGGAAAGAGGAACATGGCAGCTTTCCTAAAAAGGTGGATCCGAGGGTTCGGTGGTTCAACGAATTTAAGAAACAAATTTAGCATTACTATAGGGACAGCTAATTGGTTCCAGTCATATAGTTATATCAAATTTTGTATCGTGCAAGGCCTCACTGCTTTAACTGTTAGTACTTTTACCATACTGCTAATGCAAAATGGAACAGGTTGGTTTGAGATACCTTCAAACTCTAAAGGTTGAATCGCATGAAAGGGATTTAGCGAGCGACGAGACCGGTGACAACGATGAGAGTCAGTGGCGAGCGATGGAGATTTCTCACTGTCACTCGTTGCATCACTCGGTTTCTGAATTTCTAAAAAATGTTTCTCATCGCCTTGGTTGCTTACAAATCTTGAAAGAATAAAACAGAGAAGACGAGGACGAGAACAGGACATCTTGAAAGATGTCCTGTTCCCGTCCTCGTCCTCTGTTTCATTCTTTCAAGATTTGTATCTATTAACCAACATGCTCGTTTTCAAATGTTGGTTGCTTGCTTCCGTCGTTTTCATGTGCTTGGAGGGTGTGCTCACTTTGTTCTTAATTGCTGTCATTACTCATTGCATTTGGTTCCTAGCATCTCAAGTGGTCCCAGGCGTCCGTCTTGATCTAACGAGATTCCTGACGAACCTGGCCTTGGGCAGCAATTCGAATGGAACCAATTCAGTCCTCAACTAGTGGTGAGTTTTTTTTGTTTGGTGGTACCTCTTTTATAAAAAGGACAGTGACGGTGTCTAGACTACAGGCAGTCCTACTCTAGACCAGCACTTCTTGTCCACAGACTCCTAGGGGTCTGCGCTGATTTGGAGATCCTCCACCATGGGAGCTAAGAGCCCAGATGGAAATGTGCAGTGTGATTGGATTTTTCTTCTAGGAGAGGGAGGCAAGCAGCGAAATGGAGTTTGAGGAGAGGTTCATGGCAGTCACGAATTGACTTTGGGCAAGCTAAATATTGGGCTCCTATTGGCGGCGTGCGTGAACTACAGGTGGCGCTTCTCTAGCTATCATCATCATCGCTTGTGACGTCACGGGTGGGACCGACTGGGGCAGACCGCGTAAATTTTGAAAGCTTCTGCTCGTTGACTCGCTTCATGCGCTGTTTTGGTAACGCACGGGAAAGCCTGTTTCATGCGTTGTGTTTATTCTTTATAGTGATATTTGTAGCAGGACATTTTACCAAAGATTGAAACAGTGGCACGCGTAGTCTTGCTAACAAACACTTGGCGCTGAGGTGTCGAAGCGCTCGATCGGTGGTGTGCTGTTCGCTGCCTCAGTACAAGAAGCCTGATGATTATCGTAGAAAATCCAGTGCTTTACCCCACTACGTGTACCACAGCGAATAGGCTGGTTTTTTTAATATAAATTGGACTAAATAAAACTGAGAAAGGAATGTCTCACGAAATTGAAAATAGCAAAGAGAAATTCGACTCGCATGTGTAGTAAACACTCCAACAAAAGTGACTCCGTGCATCCTGTTGGTTCCAGTGTGATCTGCGAGTGCTGGTCTCTTATTAGATCCAAGTTGATTCCATTTAGAATATTCTTAACCAGTAAACGCACACTTCATCGAAATAACCGGCAGGAAGAGGCGGTGACTGACTTCCGGAGTTGTTTCAATTTAGCCTCTGCTTATTCACCCAGTCGACACGAAACGTGCAAGACCCCCTTGCGATCGAAGTCTTAAATCTAGTAAGTTATTGACACTTTAGCGTCCCAAAAAATGGGGTATACACATGCTATGCTTGTATGTTTAATTTTGCGTACCCAGCTGCGCATAATGCGTCATGCACTTCTGAGCGAGTGTTTTGAAATTTGTAAACAATTCTTAGTCAAAATTGGATAGAACAGATTAATCAATCACCTGAGTTTGCTGGGCCACGTTGAACAATTGAAGAATTTATGAAAATTTCTGCTTTTCTCTTGAGCAGAAGTCGCGATGTGACAAACTTGTTTGCCACCTATTCGATGCGGGCAGAGCTAACTGTCTGTTGCTGACGACCATTTGCTCGTCAACAACTGTCGAGTTACGCTTGGATAGAATCGTCGGTATCGGCAACCTCAATGTAGCTAAAACTAGTGTGTGGCGCGCTTTGCAACAGAACTGTGCGCATGTGCACAGCAAAGAAGACAGCACGTAATTTACTCTGGTGAATGCAAAGCCTTTTTCTACAGTAGCCTTCACAGATCCGGAGAAAACAAGAATCGGAGAGGCTGTGAATAGCCTTGACACATGCCGCACAAGCTGTAATGTGAAGCTCCAGGCTTGTTTGAAGTTTTTTAATATTACAGTATAAGCGACTTTGAAGCACTGTTATTCTTTAGGAAGATCACTTACAAAGATGTCATACACATTTCTTTCATACATAAACAGTTTTTAATGGGCATAGATCCAAGCTAACATACCGTAAAATCCATTAAGAACGCCCACCCAAAATGTAGAAATAAATTATGAAAAACATGGGGTGGGCCATCTTTGCGGATGCAGAACTTTATCAAAACTTAATGATAAGCACCGGGGCACCCGCTACGAACCATGTGACATGGGAACTGATACCGCAGATCACGGACACGGCAAATTCGCGTTTCACGATGCGATAAGCTCCCGGGAATTTGCTACAAACTCCCGTGTCATTGGAAAGGATACTGCAAGTGGCTGACGCAGCTGATTCGCACTTCACGGTGCAAAGGACTCGCAGAAACCCGCCGAGAACTCTCATTTCACGGGAATGGATACCGCAGATCGTGGACGCAGCAGATTTAAGTTTCATGGTGTAATAAAGACGCGGGAACCAATGCGGGAATACGCTACAAACTCGCATGTCACAGAAACAAATACCGCAGATCACGGATGCAGCAGAATTGCATTTCATGATGCACTATATAGGGTGTCAGAAAAAAAATGTACAGGGTTCTTTTTTACCACAAAAATAAACTGGGCATCGCCGAACGCTCATTGTCTGCCCAAAGGAAGTGCTAGAGGTCACAACCAGATGCCAAAGTTTCAGCCCGATCCGATATCTTAATCAAAAGTTATAAGTGATTTTCTGAAAATTTCAGTGGGAAAATGGCGGTTGATGAAGTTTTCGAATACATGGGGCTCTGTGGCACCAGAAACCGAAAATCGGCGAAACGAGGCTCTATTTTCCCATTGAAATTTTCAAAAAAAATCACTTATAACTTTGGAATAAGGTATTGAATCGGGCTGAAAGTTTGGCATGTGGTTGTGACCTCTTGCACTACCTTTGGGTGGAGAATGAGTGTTCGGCAATGCCTTGTTTATTTTTGTGGTGAAAAAAATCTTGCAAATTTTTTTTGTTACACCCTGTAGACGCAGGAACAACTCACACGTTCGATATTGCACGCGCAGATCGCAGACAAAAACACAGGAATCCGCAACGAACTCGGGAACGGATACCGCAAATTGCGAACGCAGCAGATTCGCATTTCACAATGCAATATACACACGGGAACAGCTCGCATGTTATAGGAGCGGACATCATGCGCGCAGATCGCTGACAAAAATGCGGGAACGTGCTATGAGCTCGCTTCTCAGATGCACTGGTACCGCAAATCGCGCCGTTGATGCGCAATTTCCATTGGACATCGCTTGACGTCCAATGGGAACCAGGGAGGGGGCGATGTTTCGGAAGTTTTATGTTACAGATTTTTAGCCAGAAAAACGGGATGGGTGATTTCTTGGGGGAGGGCACCCTACGGGATTTTACGGTAGTCACTCCGTGCTTTGGCGTAGCGCGTCGTCTGCTCGCATCCTACCGGCTGCATCACAGGAGGGTGCCCGCGTGGTGGCACCACAAAACATCTCGTTGCCAATACACGAGGGATGTGGAGGTAAAAGAGGAAGCGAGCTCTCTACCAGGTACTGGACTAATGCTAGAATAGAATGAAGAAGACAAAGTCGGTTAACTTTTTAAATGCCATGCTTCTTTCCGCCCGGCGGTCCCCCCGTGCCGAATTTTTTTTTTCTACTGCACAAATAAATTTATTTTGGGCGTAATAACAGGTTTACATGCTTTAGTATGTATGTTTATTTAAAGAATATGTTTATTTTAATCTTTCAAGCTCTGGAAGACGACTAACCGAACTGTGAATGATGGGAGCAATGTCACCTGTAGTTCACTTGTAGCCAGTGTCGTCGAGTTTTTTTTTTTTTTTCTTTTTAAGCCAGTGGTGTCGAGTCGTCGTCGCTTTCGTCACTCTCCAAAATACTAGGTTTCACTCTCATCACAATCTGAATTCATTAGAAGTTCCTGTATTTCAGCATCCGTCAAGCAGCGCGAAGTCAAAGCACGTGAGTTTGCCATTGGAAAATAATGTTCATGCGGGAACGCATACGGAAGTCACCTTCCCGAAAAATCTCAACCTACCATCAAGAGGCAAAACCACCACTAAAAACATTCATTCAATTGGTTCTCCATAGATGGCGCTTCCTGTTCAGAAGAATATTGTCAGCCCAAGTTTAGCCGGGAGAGGCAGGGAGTAAATTGAAAACTCGAAACGAGTATACTCGGGCGCGGCACTCAAAGGGTTAAGAGGGCAGTGAAGGAAGCTGAAAGAGGTATGTGGCAGTTGAGATTGGAAAAGAAGCCTGCTATGCAGAAAACTTTGGATTAAGAAAATAACTGTTTTGACAATTCAAAGAGTGTGCTGTCTGTGTGCCAATGACGGGTACGGAGGACTGTGACTTGTCGGTCAATATCTGAGGTGACAGATGCAAAGACCTTGGGGCAGAGTCACTAGGAAGGGAGTACCAATTTTTCTCCAGCCCCCATCTTTGCTACTTACCGTAAAATACTGGTGAAGCACTTATTTTGTTGAAGCACCCTCCTGTGATGGAGGGTGCTTCCGCTTTGACTGAACAAGCACCCCTTTCCAGATTATTCTAATTTTCAGGGTAAGTGTAATGAGCGTTCTACCTGTATTTTATGGTAGTTCTTCAATCACTTTTTCCAAGATACTTTCCACCAGCACTCTAACCTCCTCTCCGTTGCATCTTCTTTACTGTAATCCAAGTTACCAGCTTCTCCAGCAAAACTGGGGCCCCGGTACGTCTGTCACCCCTTTGAAAAGGGCAGCACTAAACTCCTTACACGTTAGAATCACATGTTCAATTCTTTATCTCCTCTCTACACATAGTGCACATTTTATCTATATCTTGAAATTTAGCCTTGTATGTGTTTATTCTTCAGACTTAGGTCGTGGCTGAGCCAGCTAAGTACTCCCTCTGGATTTATCGCCCTGCCAAGGTGTGCCCACGTTTACCGGAGTGATTTCCAACCAAACGTGGCTGCTCGCAAATGTTTATAGACAAACAATGCCAGACGAGCTAGATGACAAACTGGAAGAACATCAGGACATAAGGAAAGCAGGAAAGGTTACACATTTGGCTGGAAAGCCCCGATAAATTGAGCCAATCTTCAGTGCCAAGGTCATGCCTTTTGAAGGTAGCGAAACCAGCCACTGAAAGTAGTGAAATTTGGTGAACTCTAACCCCAAGGTCTTAACTAAGCTCTTTTTTTTAATTAGTGGACCATCTTGGGTGTCTGTAATAATGAGACCAACTTGCATGTACTTGCCTAGTTTGTTCCCAGAAGTAGCTGTCCTTAGCCTGCACTCCGGCTTTTAATATTCACTAGGCAGAGTTACATAGGGAGGGATTGGTCCCCTAATATACTGCCTATTTAGTGGGGCATCTATATAAGCGGGACATGACTGCACCACATATGGAAATTCTCTTATGATAACTTCATGAAACTTTCTATCTGACCTGCCATAATCAGTCATTGCCAATTACAAAACAACATATCTTACGATCTACAGCAATATTGTTTTTCTACTTTCTGAATAATTTGGTATCCAGCCCCCCAAATTGTTTAGATCTAGATTCTAAATCCAAAGGCACTCTGGTAAACACATTTTCTTGTGAGAAAAAGAACAATTTTTAGAAAACAGAAAAACTTTCCAAGTGAGAAGGTATGTAAAGTAAAATTTATAAATCACAATAATATAAAAATGTTTGATTTTTTTAGGGTTTCTGCTTTTCAACGTTATGGGCTTTCCTTAATGGTGCCAGTTGCATTTTGAGTGGTTCTGTGAATCAAATTTCAAAGTGCAGCAAAATAAATAACGACAGTTACAGCAAAACTGCATTGGGACTCCTCTTTTCCAAACTAAGTGGCTATCTTAGTTGGGCTTCCTTTGTGTGTGAATACATATGGTCTTTTCTTTTAGGTGTTGAAGCCACATTGTTGGAGGAGACCAGCTGCCCACTGAAAGTCACTGAGGACATCTGGTTTGGATGCTGTTCCTGCACCTATGTCACCAGAAATCAGCGTGGAATGGTGAGCCACCTGGCTGCCCATGGTGATGAACAATCCAAGTGCCACCATCCTCACAAGTCTGACTCTAAGGCCCAAGTGCTTGGCAACACTCAAAAGCACAGTAGGAAAAAGCCATTCAAGTGCAAGCTTTGTCCCCAAGAATTTGCTTATAATTCCCATCTGAACCGTCATATCAGAACACATACTGGTGAAAAGCCATATAAGTGCATGCATTGCCCCAAAGCCTTTGCTCTAAATTCCCATCTACAAAGCCATCATCAAACGCACACTGGTCAAAAGCCATTTAAGTGCAAGCAGTGCCCTCGAGCCTTTGCTCAAAAATGCTATCTGAAAAAGCATAATCAAACACACATTGATGTGAAGCCATTTAAATGCAAGCATTGCACTAAAGCCTTTGCTCAAGATTCTTATCTGAAAAAGCATAATCAAATGCACACTGGTGAAAGGCCATTTAAGTGTAAGCAGTGTCCCCGAGCCTTTTCTCAAAATTACTATCTACAATGTCACAATCGAATGCATACTGATGAAAAACCATTTAAGTGTAAGGAGTGCCCCCGAGCCTTTGTTCGAAATTCCCATCTACGAAGCCATAATTATTTGCACACTGGTGAAAAGCCATTTAAGTGCAAGCAGTGCCCCCGAGCCTTTGCTCGAAATTTCGATCTGCAAAGACATAATCATTTGCACACTGGTGAAATGCGATTTAAGTGCAAGCAGTGCCCCCGAGCCTTTGCTCGAAATGCCCATCTGCAAACCCATAATCGAACACACACCGGTGAAAAGCCATTTAAGTGCAAACTGTGCCCCCAAGCCTTTGCTCGACATTCCTATTTGAGAGATCATAATCGAATGCACACTGGTGAAAAGCCATTCAAGTGCAAGCAGTGCCCCCAAGCCTTTGCTCGAAGTTCCAATCTGAGGTATCATAATCGAACGCACACTGGTGAGAAGCCATTTAAGTGCAAGCAGTGCCCCCAAGCCTTTGCTCGGAATTCCGATCTACGAAGCCATAATCAATTGCACAGTGGTGAAAAGCCATTTAAGTGCAAGGAGTGCCCCGAGCCTTTGCTCGAAATTCCGATCTACAAAGACATAATCATTTGCACACTGGTGAAAAGCCATTTGAATGCAAGCAGTGCCCCCAAGTCTGCATGAAATTCCTATCTACGAAGCCATAATCATTTGCACACTGGTGAAAAGCCATTTAAGTGCAGACAGTGCCTCCAAGCTTCTGTTTAAGATTCCTATCTGGGAAATCATAATCGAACTCACACTGAGGAAAATTTATTTAAGTGCTAGCAGTGCCTCGAAGACTGCTTGAAATTCATATCTGAGAAGCCATAATAGAACGCAGACAGGTGTAAAGCTAAAGCAAGTGTGCTGAAGTTACAGCAAGGGTGCAGGCGAGCTGGTTGAATATAGACATTTTAACCCTGGAGAGTGGGGACAAGGAAGACAAACACGACACAGATCTCCAAAGCCATTTAAATGCATGCAAGACTGGTATTATGAAAAAAGGCTTGAGGGCACCTCAAGCCTTTTTTCATAATACCAGTCTTTTCCGCCATTATCGTATGTTTAAAAACCATTCAATTACAAACAATGAGCCAAAAGCTTTGCTCAGAATAGAAGTTTATCTGCCAGAACCAGATGCACTCGTGCGTAATGCGTTAAGGTTGACCAAAATATTGAGCCTGCCCCACGTGTAATCATTTAACTCATGCAGAACTTGATGCCATTTCAATCGAAGGATACAGATCCAAGAGGTGTCATACTCTGCTTGGAGAGGAGGATTAAAGAAGGAAGTAGAGGGGAATGAGAGGAGGAAAGAAGGACAGAGAGGAGGATTAGAGAGAGAGGAGGAGTAGGAAAGGTGAAATGCCCCCGAAAATTTGTTCAGAAAGGAAAGGGGGGCGACTTGCAGTCAGGGAGGTCCCCTGGCGATTTGTTGTGGGCACTTTGTTGTGGGGAAGCAGGCAAATTGGAATGTGATATCTTCTTTTCCCTTTCTTAGGGCGTTCTAGCAGATTTAGAATTTCTGTTTCTGGATGTTCGACTAAACGCTGGTTGCTTACATTACAGATAATGGGGTTAATATTTTTAACACCCTTGACTCAGCGCACCGTGGCGATTTGTAAGCGTAACTTGAACAGCTCCTTTCAAATAAGTTTGAGAAACAAATTTGTACCCAGGATTGACCCAATCCCAAAAAGCTATAACTCACAAGAAATAAAATAACAAAACAACCCAAAGTCAAAATGCTAAGAAAGCAGCTATACGAAATCAAAACCATTAACCTAGTATGTTCTTGAAAACCCGAGAAATAGGCCCTATGTGAAGAGCACATGCTTATTGCTCCTGTGGTCCTGAGTAAAATAATGTCCTAAGCTCGATCATGTCAGAAATCAACACAAAATGTTTTTGTTAGCGAACTCTTAAACCGCATCCCCCGAGTGCTCTAAGGCATTGGGTAGTGCTTAGCGATGATATTGAGAACTCGGAGGAAGGAATCATTGCAGCAGATGGGGCCGTCATCGACTTCCACCACAGCCAGTCCAGGCGTGGCTGCAGCGTTGCAGTAGTCCTTATTTTGCCAGTCGGCGTCCTTGTGTTCCTCCCGGTGCAGCCCATCCCCTTTCAGAGCAGGTAGAGCTAGTCGAGGGTATTAAAAATATTTACCCCATTAATAATCTGTAACAGTAAGCGACCAGCGTTTAGTTGAACATCCAGACACAGTTTTTAAATCTGCTGGAATGCCACCACAGAGTATTCACAACAAAGTGCCCACAACGAATCGCCGGGGGACCTCCCCGACTGCAAATCCGCTTTTTTTTTTTCGTAACAAATTTTCGGGGGCTTTCTCCCAATTCGCTTTTCACTCCTCTCTCTTTCTCTAATCCTCCTCTCCTTCCTTCTTCCCTCCTCTCTCATTCTCCTCTCCCAACCTTTTTTTCCTTCTCCTCAAGCGGAGTATGATGCCTCTTGGATCTCCCAAAGGCTTTGCTCGGCTTAATATCTAAGCTCGCCACACTGAAGCCCTTATGCACAATAAGCCTGACAAATTCCAGCAGGTTCCCAGGTCATTGTTTTAACGGACTTGCCTCATCGGGCACCTGCTAACACACAACGTTAACAAATCGTAAGGGCATTTGCGTAATGCCTGTACCAAGTGGGCCTTTCAAATGCGAGCAATATCTGAGAAACTTGAATTGGAATTCCAGCTTGGTTGGCCACCTAGAATGTGCATACAGAGCCGGACTATTTGGCCTTGTTCTGGAGCCTCTGGTCCAATGGCCACCGTTTGTCATCACACAAATGTATTGGTGTGTAGTAAATGATTCTTCTCTAGCTGTGATCTCGAGGCTGGGCCAATGATTATGAAATATTGTGTAATATTTTTCAGAGCAGCTACTCTGTGTTCTCAAACCTGAATGTACATTGGGTCATGCTCTAGCTCTTGTTCCAAGCCCCTTTGGACTCGCTCGAGGTGTTCTCTTTGAGGCAAGGTCTAATATGTTTGTAAAAATGACTATCGTTTTCTCTTGATATTACTCCTATCTATGAGGAAGATACAAATGTAACAAAGGTTAATGTGCAATCAGAATTTAATCTTGCTTATTAAAAAAAAATGGTTGGCAGTTTACATTTTTACATTTTTTTTTTTCAGCTGCTGCGGAATTCAATATTGATGTAACGGCTTGTTCACACCCTTGGGACTGCTTACGACCGGAGAGGCTAAATACAGGTTCTTAAGGCTCTAGTGAGAGCTTCTGACTTTCTGCATTGTTGTGGAGCCGGTCGTGAGCAGTCACAAGACGCTTAAAAGCCGATCTTGTCTCGGTCGTAGTCAAACGCAAGTGTGTGAACGGGCCTTAACGAAAGGCACTACCGAAAAGGGTCAACTTTTGAACCTTTGGCTTAGTATGAATGAAAATTACAGTATATACTGGTAGTGACGAGGCAAAATGCACTGCAAAGTTTAATCTGTGTACATGAAATGTGAAAGAAATTATAGTTTTTTTTATTAGAAACACGCTGACATTGTTTAGGAAAACTGTCATTAGGGAACTAACATAATACCCAACATTTTCCTTCGCTAGGAAAATGTTTCAAAACTTTCGTCAATGCAGCCCTTTTGGGGCTTCATTGACGAAAGTTTTGGAAAATTGGGAACTGACAAGCGTACTTATACTCTAAATGTTTTCGCTTTCCTTCTTTGTACTCGCATCTTTGGAATCATGTATTTATATGACACATGCTTTGGGATGTTACTTTATGTTGTGTTAGGTGTTCCCGATATTTTCTTGCTCTGTGTGTATGTTCCTGGCAGTTGTTTTCTTGTTGCCTGGCTGTCTGCATCAGAATTGTGTGTCCTTGTATGCTGGAATATTCCTTTTGCTTGTTTTTTTGTGTAACACAGATTAGTAGTTTGTTTTTCTGCTTCACTGAGGGCTAACATTCTTATATTTGTTATTACAATGAGGAGGGTCGGTGAAGCCAGTCTCAGTGAATACCATCTCAGCCATGAATTTGCTTTGGTTACAGGGTCCTTTGAATTTTCGCTCAAGGCGTGTTTATTATTGCATCGTGCAAACAATTTCAAAGCCTATCTTTATTGCGATGATTTTTTTTTTTCCTTTTATGTCGTTTGGCTTGAACAAAATCTGCGGATAATCAATATGTAATCAGACTTTTGTTTCACTGTTTCTCAGAAATAAAGGTCTGTAGTCAAGTTCCCTCAATGTTGTTAACTTTTTCGTCTGCCATTGCATACCTTAGCTGAATCAAATGTGGCACAGGCAGAGTAGCTCTTTAGAAAGTTCCCACTTTGCTATCTTATTTGGTGCTGGGATCCCGCTATAGCATTTAAGAGAATGGCGGTTTCGGGTGTCGGTTCTGACATTTGCCCAATTCCTGCCCTCCACGGGGTTTATGTATGAGGTGACGTAGCTTGCCTTAATGTCCCTTACACATATATACACAGGGTGTTTCACGAAAGGTGGACAAATTCGATATTTTGAAAACCATGCGTCACAACAAAAAAGGCTTGTGTCGTTTTGGTCTTGTGCCAGGGGTCTATCTAAAAAAATGATTAAGTCCGGGATAATTAAGTTGTTAATTATTTTCACGAAATTAACTTTTTCAATATTGTGTTTAAAGGCATGGTTCCAATTAGAAAATTGCTCAGCATCATCAAAAAACACTAAATCAACAAATTACAGAACGATGGAAGGCAAGCAAAGCATTTTACGGCCTTCTGAAAAACCGCACAAATCCGACGGGTTTTTAAGTTTCGGTTTCCTATCGGAGCGCATCTTGGCACCGACGACACCGCGCCCCGTGGAGAGATAGTGCAACCAGCCTCTGCTGTGTCGCGCGATGACAGCGCAGCAGAGGTTGGTTGGACTATCTCTCCACGGGGCGCAGCAACATAAGAAACAACAATGTCATACTGGCTGGTATGACACCGGCACGTATGGCGCCGGTGGCCCAGTTGCATGGCGAGCACTTTCCAATGGCGTAGAGCGGTCTCCCGATGGCCCGCTATACAGACTCGCCAAAGAAGTCTGTCAGTAGGCTTCGTTCAAAAAGGAAGCGGGAATGCTTCCTTACATCCATTTCTACGGTATTCACAGAGCCCAAAAAGTCCAGATATCATGCTTTTTACCAATCAAGAAAGAGATTCTTGGAGCAAACCAAATAGGCCGCCCTCAAAACGCAGAAACAAATCGCAGATGGGTGTCGTCAACTTCAAACACGACTGGGAGCAGAGCCTCGACTGAAGCAAACAAACAAATAAATACTGTGTAATGGGCAAGTCAAGATAGCGGTGCCAGAGCTCCTTTTCTGTTTATTTTGTTTTACAAAACCACTCCAACGATTGGTGGCACCGAGCGAGTCTTTTTCTGCGTATTTTCTATCGCGCAATTTTCTTATTGCAATTTATTGTTATTTTTGTCTAGAACTGACCCCCCAAAATTGCTGCTTCTTTAATGTTTACAAATTGTTTGCACACTCATCTTTTTCATTACTTTGACTTTCACTAAGCTACTGGCATGAGCCGCTGCACAGCCTCTGACAACCGACGACATTCGCAATCAGCCAAGATATTGTGACAAGATTATCACATTGTGCTGAGAACAGCAGGAGAAACCTTCTGAACTTTTGTTTAAAGCACATTCTTTTTTCCGCTCAAGACATTCCAAACTTGCGCAATCCCCTGAATAACGTAGGATAAGAATGCTGACGGCATGATACCTAAACAAATGTCTGCTTTGTGAGCCTATGATTTAGCTGTCATTGCAGTTGTGATCGGTGGATTCCGTAGTTCAGGTGCACTAACCGTTTTTTTTAGGAAAACGAAACTGGGCTTGCAAAGCGTATTATGTCTAGGGGTGTCACGAACCGGTTGAGGTTCGAGTTCGACCTGGTTTGACTTTTTCGAACTCGTAAAAATTTCGACAAAGGTTCTACTCAGGTTCGACTGCTATGCGCATACGCGACAGGCTGGTCACTTGGCTTTGGATTGGATGGTGATGGCTAAGGGATGAAGTGAGGGCAGAACTGATTGGGTCATTTCAGTTAATACAGTAGAAAAAATTAAGTTATTAACTACAACAAAATGGTGAGTTGGGCCAGTTGGTTCATAATGGAAAAAGACAATTTATGGAAAAACAGTCATATATACACTTTTAAAAAACACCCACGTCACTTTCCACGTGCCCACTCTTTATCCAAGAATAGACACTCTTTTTCTGACAGAGTCACTGAAGGCTCGCTTATGCACTTATCTGCACCCTTCCTTATTGCATACGCCTCATGAATTTCCCTTGTAATCTTTTTGCTGTATCGCCCCAGGATTGCCACGTCATTGAAAACTGGTGTGCACTCACATCGGTTGCAGTGCACAGCCAGGTGCCCCGAAGGTGACTGTTTTAAGGAAGCAGCATGCTCTCTTGCGCGATCATTCACACAACGCCCAGTTTGGCCTACGTAAGACCTACCGCAAGAAAGCGGAATGTCATACACAACACCAGTGTGACATTCTACAAACTTATTCTGGTGTTTTTTCTTACACTCGTCACTGTTCCCTTCGGGATCATTGATTTTCCTGCATAACGCAGAAAGCTTTTTAGGGGCTGAAAAAACGACAGGAACGTCGTAACGTTCCGCCACCTTTTTTTAAGTTATGAGACACTGCGTGAATGTAAGGCATTACAGCGGTTCTTACTTTTTGGCATTCAAGAACGTTTCTTTCCTGCAGAGGACCTCAAAGCTGCAGAGGGCCTCAAAAAGAAATTTAGGGGTGCGGAAAGAAACGTTCTTGAACGCCAAAAAGTAAGAACCGCTGTAATGCCTTACATTCACGCAGTGTCTCATAACTTAAAAAAGGTGGCGGAACGTTACGACGTTCCTGTCGTTTTTTCAGCCCCTAAAAAGCTTTCTGCGTTATGCAGGAAAATCAATGATCCCGAAGGGAACAGTGACGAGTGTAAGAAAAAAAAACAAAAAAAAAACACCAGAATAAGTTTGTAGAATGTCACACTGGTGTTGTGTATGACATTCCGCTTTCTTGCGGTAGGTCTTACGTAGGCCGAACTGGGCGTTGTGTGAATGATCGCGCAAGAGAGCATGCTGCTTCCTTAAAACAGTCACCTTCGGGGCACCTGGCTATGCACTGCAACCGATGTGAGTGCACACCAGTTTTCAATGACGTGGCAATCCTGGGGCGATA